AAATTGTGCGAATCGATTATGATGAACATTTTGTATATTTTATATTATATAAATGAGATGGTAGAGTTAAAATCGTAAGAACTCTATGTTATATGTTTTATAACTTAGGACTATTATTCATTCTTCAAGTCTTTAAGAAAAAAAATGCATTAGGCTTTCTGAAAACAGCATCACTGCTGGATAAAATGTTGCATCAGTCCACAAAGGATGCTGATATTTTTTTTAACGAACAAATCGCTCGTCCGCGTTTGCGGACGGCTTCGTCTCACTACCTGCCCGCAAGATTGGAAAAGCCGAAGAATGCGCTCTCGTGCGATTCTTTTTGGGATGACGCAACCGCCCGCGCGCGCCGCGTCGACCGCCGCCGCGCCGCCGTTCGCCTGCACGAGATTGCAATTTTGGGATTACGCAGAATTCAAGCGGGCGAGTCTGTATGTGCGCGATGACGCATCGACGCGTTCTCCAAGGACGCGGGGATTCTACGGTGCGGCGCCGATCAAGTTCACCATATTTATACACTCCCGCGAGTGCACGACGAGCGCAATAAAAATGCGACGCGGATTTAATTCGGCACAACCGGGAATAATTATTTATGCGTCTGCAAATAAGTGTCGGCGAGATTGGAGAAACCGAACTATCCTGACCTACATGTGTGAATAGTGAACGGGCTTATCGCATTAAGGATGATAAATATATTTTCGAAATGAGAATATCTCGACGTGCCTTGACAGTGGAACGACTCAACGAGAATTAGGATGCTATCGGAAAACATTCAGAGTCACGTCCAAGTGCAAACGATATTAATTATCTGTATCTCGCGCTGTATACACGCGGATATTCTGACGTTGATTCATCAGTCTGTGTTACACGAGAATAATGAATTTTTTACTTTCCCCCATTAATTATCGCTAGTCACAACGTCATTATCTCCGTACGCCTCGTCGCGCGAGGGTCTCTTCGCGGAAGGAATTGTTATGCGTTTCCTAAGCGATATCCGGAGTGTGCGCGCGTATGCACTTTGAATTGTCAAACGCAGCCAAGTGCACGCGGGATATATAGTCACAGAGAGTATGCTCAAGAATGAATCGGTCGTCCGATTCCCGTATCTCCCCTCACCGTCCATTTCTTCATGCAGCATTTACAGCGTGTATATTTCCCAAAACGTATATTTCCTTTCTTAATATTCGTTTGAATTTGTTTTTTCTACTACTTCCTCGAATTGGTGTTACGAACCGATCACTATCTTATAGTGAAGATCGGTCCGAAAATTTTCCTTTTTTTTATAGGCTTCTTTGTCAAAAAAAGAAAGTTGCTTTACAGAATCTCTTTTCCATTCTACATTAGTATTTCTATATAGTATCTTTTATTAATTTTTTCATTCAGCTCTTTCTTTTTTTTTCTTCTCTTCTTTTTCTCACGCTCTCACGTATATCATTCACATAATCGAGAGCCGCACTAATACCCTAAAGGCAAAGTCGATCCCTTTGCGCACCCTGCCCGCGAAGACACGGGAGATCGGAAGTCCATTCATGCCGAAGGAATTTTTTAATATGCCCTCGAGTTCCTCGTCGTCTCCATCCCCATCCCCTCCTCGTCTACCGGCCGACGTTTGCCACGTCGTCCGCCCTCTCCTCCCTCCTCCCCTCCATGTCGTCTCTAACGCAAAAATTATTCGAACGCGTCGGCATACAATTAGAGTCGTGGAATCGCGTGACGCACATAGGAATCCAACGGGAGACCTCGAGCGCGGCCACCGACACCAGCGATTAGCAAGAAGCTCGTCATCCTGGAACGCCGACGACGACAGACGCTCCCGGCTGCGACGCCGTATCTCCCTCGCGTGCGTATATACATGTACGTACATCGAAAGGGGAAGATCATTAACCCTTCGCGCTGCTGAGTATTCTCGAGATGGAGAGGACACCTGCGTCTCGCTTCCGATAAGACACCGTGCGTCGGCCGCCCCGCACGATGATCGCGCGCGGAAGTCGCGCGGATTTCTATTACAGGTATCATGTGTGTTTAAACCTAAACTCGGCAAAACTGTGAAAGCGGACTCAAAAATAGCGTCTTAAGACACGGAGAGAAGATGTTCGGATCATATAATAAAAATTTTCGTTCAATAAGTTCTAATACCATTCAGAAAAACATTATTTCTAAGGCGTTAAATAATAATAATGATAAATAGTGTGAAAGATATATTATTAATACAAATCTTAAGTGAAAATTGAGTTTTAATTATAACAGAAAGGCATATACAGTTGGAAAGATGAAGAGTGCATTAAAGTTTACGGTTGAATGAATTTCAATTCATTATGTTAAATATAAGTAATATATTAAATTATATGTGTTAAATATAAATTATATATTAAATCCATTATTAATTATACAATAATAATGTAATTAAAATAATTTGTTATTAACGCGCCAGATATTTATAAGCATATAATGAAATCCTTTTCTTAATTTTTTCTTTTCATCCAAGAAATCATCGACAATATGCATTTATATTTCGCGGAGCGATAATGTCCGAATGTCAAATTGCGTTTTACGAACGCAGACACGCGTGAAAATTCGTAGGTCTTACGCAAGCCCGTTGCCGAAGAGAGGCCGAGGAGCTGTTTCACTTGTTAGGTATAACTCGTGGCCATTTGGGCAGTTTAATCATATGTATCTGGGTATTAGGGCAATGTTCATGCTGTAACCTTGGGCCCGTTTACTTGTACCACCCGCGATCTTTGTCCTGTCTTCTATACTTTTACAGGTCTCTCGGATTCCCGTGATGTTCTAGAGTCTTTTTGGACATCTTACATAATCTCCCTACCGATTCTGTCTTCTGTTTCTCGGATTATTCTTTTTTTTATTTGCTTGTCTTGTTTTTTTTTATTAATATTATTAATATAATTAAGTGTTTTTCTCCGTATTATTTATAAGAAAGTTACAAAATAATAAAATTCGAATGTCTAGGTAAAGAGAATTTAAATTACTTGAAATATATAAGGCAAAAATATAAATATAACAATATAGAGCTAAAATTTAAATAATTAAATTATTTGCAAACATTAATCCATTAATTAGAGATTAATTGTGTAGCAGGTTTAGACTTTTAGATACATTTTTAAGAATTACTCTTGTTGAACTTCTCTTAATCTCTATAAGGTAAAATCTAATTATTTGCAGTATCCGACGAAATAAGTGCGTAAAAAACTTCTCATCGTTCTTTCCGTTCACTTTGTCGCATTGAAAATGCTTTCTACATGATGATTTGAATAATACAAAAACAATCGTTTAATTGATATAAAAAACGGTCGCACTAATAATTCAAGTCGCAATAATAATGATATCTTGGTGAGTGTGCGCGCGGGCGTTATAATACGCGTAAGAATTTTATTTTAATGTGCTTGGGTGCCAGCCAACATTTTCAGGTCAGTTCACAAACGCGAGCGCGGGTATTCTACCTAAGGAAACTTCGACAAAAACGACGATTACAATAAGAAAAAAAAATACGAAAATAGAAAGGGAAAAGAAAAGTTGAATCCGTCGCGGAATCTGTGTTTCGGTGTTTCGGAGCCAAGGTCTCGTTACGAATCCCGCCAAAATATTGCCGCGTAACGTATTATATGTTAATGCAGGTCGGGTTTTATAGGTCCAATCCTCGCAGTCTTCCAAGGTCACATTTTAACTGATAATACCGAATGAAAGGGGGGGAAAAAATAAAGGAATCGCGAGTATCGATATCAATGATAGAAACAAGAAAACAATAATTTTGGTTACAAAATTTTCGTATTAAATTTCCAAAATATCTTTTTTAAATTCTTGTAAATTAAACACATTTTCTGTATGTCCAGACAGATCATGGTAAGTAATCAATGATGCAACGCAAAATAAGTTATTATTTATAAAATATTTGTAATTAATTAAGTGAAGTGATTGTTTCGCTTAATGATTGCAATATATTTTATATTTGGATGACTTTTAACATAATCCATCTATTATTAATGCAATGAAATTAATTGACCGAAATTGACATATATCAAAATATGTTATTATAAAATCAATTAAATTCAATCGTAGTATAAGTATATTTATCTAATCTTTTTTTAATAATAAGTCAATTTTAACAATCAAGCAAATAAGCGAGTATAACAATTTATTTTTTATTTTTAGGCTCGTAAATAAATAATAATAATAAAATGAAAGTTACGTTTCATCTTATAATTACGATATAATATTTTTCTGAGAATGTTGTTAAGGATACATTTTACGGAGAGCAATAATCGAGTGAATTTTTAATTAATCAGTCTTACCCACCGTGCTCCGGATGTCCAATGCGACCTAATCCGCCGAAAGGGTCACGTCCGCCGAGATTCGTCTGCCCCAGTAACTCGCCACGTCACATCTGCATCATCCCGCCAATTCCTCAACCACCGCAATGGAAACCGTGCTGCATTCGTAAATACGGTTTCCTCTGCAACGCTCACGCTCACCCGCGAAGATTTCTGCGATTCAATGACTTAGACTTGATAACTCAATGGTGAACTCCTGTCATTGTCATGGGCATGAGTAATCTTCTGTTGCTCCTGGAAATTTTGCTGCGTATCGCCTTAATAATCAACAGCAAAGGATTCTTGCTTTTCGTGAATTTCCGATAAATTATAAAGATCCCTCTTTCAAGCGATATAGAAATCAAAATGCAGCACTCAATAGTTATAAATAACATTATGGCATTGAAGATTTTTGAATAAAAGATAGAAAAAGATAAGAATGTAACAAACAACATAGATAATTAATCTGTAGCTTGAAAAAGATAAATAAATTCAGAAAAAACGATAGATTCAATTGCTTTAATTATTGATATATTAACCTTTAAACCACTATATCGGTGTCACAGACGTTATTGAAACATTACTTGTCAACAATTGTCTTATTTGTCACCATTTAAATACATTTTATTTTTATTGTATACAAGATTTTTTTGTTAACTCTCCAATTAAAACGTAGTTTTTCTTTTCCCCATCAACAAGTATTCAGAAAAAATACATTTTTATTATAATTAACTTATAAAATTAGCGGAAGCATAATAGTGGTCTCTTAGACCGATATTGTGATTAGTGCGATTTTTTGGGTGTGGTTTAAAGGTTAACTGTATATCTATTACATTTCTTCATACATATAGTTATCCTCTGAATATCCACTGAAGTTAGAAGTATTCATTGAGAAATTGCAATTTTTGATTTGACATCGAAAATAAAAAATGACACACAATTTTGTGTGTCACTAATCACTTGTGTGACTTATTGTTAGTGACACACAAGTATCGTTTTGTCTTTGTTACTCACTAAATGTTAAGTAAGATAGAATGACGTTTGTGTCGACTTGTGTCACTAAATAGAAAGCACCAAATGTTTTTTCTTTTTTGAACTGGAGAAGTTTAAAGGAAGTTTTGGAAGTTCTATGTACCAACTTGCTTCTACCAATTGCTAGAAGTCTGTATTGTTATCAAAGCAGGAAAACAAAACCAAAATAGTGACCACTGTCTATCGAAGCAGGTAGCTGCGGAGATTTTCCATCAACGAAGTAGCGAAAACAGACACCATCAGTTCTTGAAACACAATACGCCGCGACGCTGGTCACTCATTTTTTCCTTATCTTCCATAGTTGACAGTTAGCGAAATACGCCGCTTACCGGACAGACGTGTCGTCTAGCCAGACAGAAGTGGTGACCCCCAAGTATCCGCAAATGCGTGCGTCGGCTGGCGATACCACGGTCACGGAGCGAAGCCTGCAAAGAGACATGCGTAAGCGTTGCGTACCAGACGGCGATGGTAGAGGAAACGGAAACGACTGATAGGACGTTTATCTTGAAAAATTCGTCCCGTGGAATCGTATTCAAATTGGAACACGAAACGTCCTTTCCTCTCAGCACATCAAGCTGCACGCAGGTACGAGACGCGGCCACGCACGTGCGTGCGTCGGCAAAGCGAGCGAGCGAACGCGCGCCGCACATTTGCGCGGCCTTGCGCGAGGTCGTCAGCATCTGGAAAAATGGCCGACCATTCCATCTCATAATCAGCGAAATGATCGGAAACTTCGAGAAAGATCAAGCGTACGTTTAAAGTACGTATACTCTCTCGCAAAAAATACTACAAGTTTATAATCTTCCTATTTCTCGCACGGCCCGGATAAAGGCGTTCAACCTTCATTAATTTGCCATTCGATGAATATACTCATTGAATATCAAATTAAATCCGATTAAGACGCTTATGAGAAAAAAAATTATCCATCCAATTTATTAAAAAAATTAAAACTTTGCTCTCTGCGTTAGTGCAGCTATATTTGTAAAAAGATATGTGCAATACTGAAGACACATTGATTTTATCTGTAAAAATAAATTTTGATATGCAAGATGAAAATAGAAAAATAGAATATAAATAATATATAAATTTTAAAGAAGGGAGGGGGATTCTTATATAGATGCTTGTTAGCATCAAAAATATTAAATTGCTCGTTAATATTCGTTACAGTGGATTCTGGCTTTGTGTAAGAACTGTGTTTTAAGACCGACATAAAGTGCGGCACGCAGTTTGTGTGGCTAGATATCGTAACAATAATTATACACAACATCCAGCTCGGCTCGCAATAGCAAGTCTACGAGCACTAATAAGGTGACGCTTAAATATAAAATATAAAATTTATTCAAAACAAAGGTACATATATTTTTTCGCTATTTATTTGATTTTTTGCGGCTGAAGAAGGCTAAGTAAAGAAACATGTACCGCGCTTATTTGCTTTGAATAAATTTTATATTTAACTGTCACCTTATTAGTGCTCGTTAGTTTGGCCTATTTTATGACTTGAATATTTTTTTTAACTGCACTACTTTTTTAACTACAAGTATATTCTTGTCTATATAATGTTTTTTTTTTTTTCAAATAAAGTTCAAGAGATTTAAATATTGGGTGTTATTTTAAAGAATATGTTAGATTTTCTATTAAATTATTAATTGTCGGGGTATAAAATCTGCAACAAATTCTTCCGCGCCTACATGGTGTTTACTGAAATCTTGTATAAAAAAGTTTCCTAAGAATTCCCGGATTTTTCAGATATTTATTCATTCAAGAGGGCGTGGAGTGACGGCGGATGTTCTCCTTGCTAACCATAATAAATTGGCCGAGACTACGAAAGAAAGGGGGAGGGAGTCAAAGATATCAGAATCCTCTTAACTTTGGCGATATATTCTGGATACGCTAAAATGCTTTGAAGTTCATTCTGATTCGTCAAAATTTTTTATTCTGATTGGCTAGTCAGACATCTCTATCGGATGGCCGTGGTCGACCATTTGTAGCTTTAAATTGACCGCACCCCCTGATGGGGGATGGAATTAAGGCGTATCTCACAAGATGAGTGACGTTTTGGGGACACTCGTAAATGCGTCACGGCAGGACAGTATAGAAATTTTTGGACTATATGGATAGAAATTCAACATATATAGCTCCTCCCCAGGATTTTCACAAGTTTTTCTCCATCTAATTATAAGAAAAAAGGTATTTTTATTCAAATTTTCAGATAAGATTAAAGAATTTTTTAATGCAATTTTGAAATAAATCAATGTGTAAGCAAACTATATATTGAACATATTAATATAGAAAGCAAAAATTCCACGATATATATCATTCTTTTACAATTGAAAACTAGATGGTATAGAGAAAGTTCACTACAACATAATAACAGTGACCTATTCACTTTTTCTAAGTATTGTCTCCTATTGTCACCCTGATTTTTATAATAATTTGCGAAATACATATGAAAATGTATGTACATATGTGAGTATATGCAGATGTTATATTTATTGTTAATCGATTAATTATCGACATTTTGCATTATTAAGAAAAAATAATTTAAAAAAATAATATTTTCTCGGAAAGAAATAAAATTTAAATTTAAAAATAAAATTCTAAAAGAAATTCCCCGAAAATTTAAGAAACTTTTCGGGATTTCCCAAGCAAAAAGTTCATCGACCACCAGTAAAATGAGCTATAATAAGAGAGACAGAACAGGAAGAATGAGACAGAATGACAAACATCTGGTGTTGACCTCTTGAAATCGGTTTCCTGCATGCTTCTTAATCAGCCCTTGGCTTTGGGAAACACCCTCATTGACAAGCTATAATGTTACAGGGTATTGACCTGAAAACTAAAACAAATAGAAAACATTGACCTTCTCTTAGCGTGCTACGTTGCCAGTTCCTTTCCATTTTTCGGTTAAATTTTGATAAACGTAAGAATACAATAATTTAAAGTATGACAAGAAATACGAATAATGCATCATTTCTCACACCATCGGATTATGTATCGTAGTTCAGAAAATCTATATAAATCACAACTTCTTTAGCTATCATAACTGATTTTCTAATAGATCTTAAAAACATCTGTCGCAGAAATAATAAATAGTTACAAAATAAAAATAAAATTTTTGTGCTTTATGCGTAAATTATTTATTTAAATATAATTTTATTGTTTAATATAATTAGTCTTGTGAGAAATTAATAAATCTAATATGTATACGATTCTATCCCTTTTCTCCCTTAGAAATATATGAATCTCTTTTACATATTAATTATTTATAAAATAAATTTTTTGGATACGCACAAAGTTTAAACAATAAATTCCTATATTATTTGCAATATACATCGTCAACAAATTTTGGTTCTTAATATTTCATTCCGATATTATCATTCTGAAAACTCAAATTTTAGGCGAATTTGTGAAATCTTCGACTAAATTGCGCGGGAAAATGATTAGACTATTAACATTCGTTAAATCGATATGGCTAGCCTTGACCGGTTGTAAGAACATTCTGCGTGCGGCACACCAATCAGATTTCTTTCGTTGTATTATTTGCCCGTCATACACGTATATCGACAGCTATCGACGGATATTGACATACCGGATATAAGCAGCAGCTCACTCCTGACATTTCGTGTCGGTCTGACATCAGCAAATAAAGAAAGAAAACGAAAAACAAGCGTGCAAACGGATTTATATTATCCCTACCTGAGGCTTTACAAATAACATTTTTCATGCATCGATTTTATCTGAACCCCATCTACATCACTTTTTCAAGTGTGTGTTTTAGAAGAATGTCTATTTTTTTAAATAAAAAAAAGGAAACAAATTGAACTTGCAAGAAAATAACCTAATAAAATTGTATTGTACGATATAATATGCCAAATATAATATATGATTCTCTATATATAATATATGTATATGATCTAGCCATATTATTATAGCGGATTTTTTGATAGATTCATCCTTAGTAGCCGAAAATAAAAACTATTTTTAATTTGAACACCTAAAGTAGGATGTTCTCTTTTGTTATTTTTAAGTAATAAAAACAAAGTTTTAATATTCATATTTATTTATTTTTGTAAAATAAGAAAATATATATTGTATATACGTATATGATATATGTAATTTAGTGATGTTCTTTCCCGATTCTTGAAAAATCGATTATTCTGGATGATAAATAATCGATTATTAGCAGAATTCAGCAAAATTATTCTTTCCGTGTATATATAATTTTATGTGTCCTGTAATATAAGAAATATTTTAAAAATATAAAAAAATAAAAATATGTATATTATATAAAATATATATTAAAATACACACACATTAGGAACCACATTAGGAACACGTACGAACCACTGCACGTTAAAAATCAATTGAAATCATACCTTTATTTTACTGTTAATATGGAAAAGAATTAATAATGTTCTTTTTTTGATTTGATATTAATTCAAATATATCTGGTTGTATTGACTAATTAGAAGTTTCGTAGATGTGCGATTGTCATAAGGTAAAGTGATGTCCAAAATCAAAGAGCGGCGATGAAGAAAGTTGGAGATGGATACGTCAAGGATTATGGAGAAATTCCCGTAATTTCGAAAGGAACATGAGACAGGAAGTAGCGATATTAGCGAATCCGGCAGCGAGTCATGATTAGCTTTAGTGGCTTCGAGTCAGTCGAAGAACAGGTGCGAGGCTTTTTCTTCATTCTTCTTGCGCCACCTGCGCTGTGTAATATATTCAAGGCCGCTAAGACTTATTCATAAATCAGATCTCACTTTCATTCATGTGCCTGACGCGACACTATCTATCTCTCTCTCTCTCTCTCTCTCTCTTAGCGTTCGACTGACCGATTTGGATTTTCGGCACCATGCCAAAAGTACCATGAGTGAAAAGCTCGCACGACACTTTTTACCGAAGGACTTGATGGAAGGTTTCAAGATATATAATAATAATAATAATAATAGTAATAATATTAATAATTTTATCGCTAGGTATTAACAAAGTTATTATTATGCCTATCTGTATCAAAGATATGTATGATCAATTAAGAAAATAAGAGCAAAAAGTAATTCAAATAAACAGATCGCGCGAGAAACGATCATACTTATAGGTAATTTGATCTCCACAGACATATCTAAAACCAGATAATCGTACGATGAAAATTTATACGAAAATTTATATCCATAGACATCTTTTCGGGGTATGAATTTTCCACTAACGTACTTCGCATTGGAAAGTCTACATCGTGACACCGTGCGCACTTGGCTGGTTTGCACATGGCGATTCCAAGTTCAAAGCTCCAATCAGAAACCACGGCGACGTTTACGAGAGATACAGTTCGTGAATTTGCATAATCCGCAGTCGTGCGTTCGACAGCAGACAGTAGTAACATAATACATATACCGTTTCATCGGCATGTGATTTTTGGCGCCGA